GACAGATTCCAAAGTAAATGAGGCAGTTTACTAATGTGAGATTTGGGTGTTAGTCTGAAAGTACCATAGTGAATGTTTTAGCAGAAATTTCAATTACATTTAGTTAAGAAATTTTCTAGTTCCATGTGGTAGGTATGGTAAAGGAATAGCTGAAGGTTACCTTGATATTAAATTAACACTGACTGAACTATGGTTGTTAAATTGTTTCCATAGCAGGGATCATAATTTATTAATATTAGGAATTATTTTATAAGACAACTGTTATTGATGATGTTGGTTTTTTCCCTGTATAGGCAAGCTTGTATCTGAAGATGTGTAATTTATTTATTCACAATAAGGAATGTATTGTAAAACTCAATTGCATTTTATTCATGAACGTTGCTTCATTCACTTGATTGAGAATTTTTGGACTGTATCCTGGGTGTCTATCCTTGCACTAGGAGGTTGATAGAAGTTACCCCTTGCCCTCGGAGAGAAAAATTTTAATGGGAGGCAGAGATAAACAGATAATTATAATACATGATAAGTGCTGAAATAGACATTAAAAAGCTTGAACATGGAGAATTTCAAATGTATACAAAATATGCAGTAGGAGGAACTTCCCTGGTGATCCAGTGGTTAAGAATCCACCTGCCAATGCAGGGGGCACAGGTTAAATCCCTGGTCTGGGAAGATCCTACATGCCTCAGAGCAACTAAGCCCGTGGCACACAACTGCAGAGCTCACATGCCAAAACTACTGAGCTCATGTGCTTCAGCTACTGAAGCCCACACTCCTAGAGCCTGAGCTCCACAACAAGAAAAGCCATATCAATAAGAAACCCATGCACCACAACTAGAGAGTAGCCCCACTCACTGCAACTAGAGAAAGCCCATGTGCATCGATGAAGATCAAGCACAGCCAAAAATAATAAAATAAATAAACTTAAAAAAATACCCAGTGGGAGAATGAATCTTCACAAACATATCACCCAACTTCAGTCATTTGCAACTCTTGATAATTCTTGTTTCACCCATAGTCTTCACTTAACTCCTTTCCCCCCTTTTGTTTTGGAACATATCCAAGATAAGAATATATCATGTAATAAACATTTATAGATATTTGACTAATTGGAGTGTACACTGGGAAAATAGACTATACCTGGGGACTTGGGAAGAAGCTATAGAGCCTGTAACATTTGAGTTTAATCTAGTAGGGAGGGAGAATGTTCCAGGTCCAGGTGAATAAAATGGAACTCAACAATTATTAAACACTGCTAAGCATTATATTGGGCTTCCCCTGTGGCTCAGTGGTAAAGAATCCACCTGCCATGCCAGAGAGGTGGGTTTGATCCTTGGTTTGGGAAGGTCCCCTGGAGAAGCAAATGGCAACCCACTCCAGTATTCTTGCCTGGGAAATCCCATGGATTGAGGAGCCTGGTGGGCTGCAGTCTATGGGGTCCCAAGAGAGTCGGACATGACCTAACGACTAAACAACAATGAAGCATTATATCAGGTTCATTTAGTACATTATTTAATTTTTTCTCTCGTACTCTTATGGGAGTGACAATATCTATTTTATATTTGAGGGAACTAGATTTCAGCCTGACTAACCTTGACTTCAAGGCTATTTAGTTTCCCATTTTGTGCACCGTGTGCACTAGGCACAGAAATGTAGAAGGGCAAGATGTTTTTGGGAAAGCAAGAGAAGATGAATGCAGCTATAGAATTGTGACTGTATGTGTGTGTCAAGAGGTGAAACTAGAGAAGCTGCTCAGGGCCAGGTTGTGAATGAACTTTAATGCTATGCTATGAAGATTTAATTTTGTCCTGAGGGTGGTGAGGATCTAGGCTGAGATACCTGTTAGCCTGAGAACAGTATTGTCAGCTTTTAAAAGGCAGATATATAGGCACTATGGAGGATTAACTGGAATCGGAAAATCTGCTGAGGGGAGACTGGTTCAAGCAAACTGTTCAACTACTGTTTATTAAGCATAAAGAATGCGGTGGGCAAAGAAACTAATGAGCAAGACATGTCTCCCTGTTTCATAGAGCTTAGCCTACTAGAGAGTTAGTCTCATGCACATAGATGGCTTATTGTGATGTTGTGATTTTTTTTTTTAATTTTTATAAGTATTTTGTGGCTGCACCACTCGGCCTGTGGGATCCTAGTGCCTGACCTTTTTGTTGAGAGAAGAGCACCAACTATTGGAATAAAGTTAAAAAAGAAGAAAAAAAGTTAAAAAGAAGAAACCTGTCCCTGCTTTATGCTAATTTGTGTGAATTTTACTAAAAAATAAAATCTGTCATGATGGCCAAGTGAGTTATTAGGAAGGGATTAAGGTGTTGCAAATGAGAAGATAGGCTTGATTTGGTAGATGGTTCTGTGATAGAATCAACTGGCTGTGATTAACATTGAAAATAAGTTTCTGATTCGAGGTATGGTATGGTTGATGCCAACAGCTGGGGCGAGGGTTGCTGGAATATCAGTGGGTTCAAGGATATGTGAGGAGGGGCAAATGAGTAGAGCTTATTGATATCATGTCTGAGATGGCTTAGGGTATCCACGTAGAGATGTCCAGTAGGGTTTTGGAAAACTGCATGAAGTATCCGAGTTGTTAGGTTTGCAGAGAGTGGTTTGGTGATCATTAGCATTATGTATGGTCATTGAAGCCTGGGAAAGAATGAGATTACCAAAGAGCAGTGATTCTCAGCTTTGGCTGCACTTTAGAATTACCTTGAGAGTGTTACAAAAATACCCATGCCTGGGCCACACCACTGATTAATTAAAGCAGAATATTTGTAAGTAGAGACTAGGTCTCTTTATGTTTTCAAAATCTATTTAGGTTATTCTAATATGCCGCTAGAATGGCAACAAAATAAACAAGTGGACCAAAAAATTAGACGACTGCATGTTTATTGAATGGACACTATTGTTGGCACTGCTACTTTAACTTACATGAGGTAAGTACCTGTTTACACTTAAGGGGAGACTGAGGCACAAAAGGTAAGTAACTTGCCTTAGGTTATACAGGCAGCCGATTGGTGCTAAGGCAGGGATTCACACCTAAGTCATTTACTCCAAGAACTGTTCTTTATACCATAATGTTCTATTGCTTCTCCACTCAAGAGTGAATCTGGGAGGGTTGAGAGTTTTGGAATGGCAGTGTGAAAAACTCAGCAGATCTTCTTCCCAGTAAAATAACCTCTTAACTGTAAAAATTATAAAGGACAGTCATTTAAAGTCTCTGGAAATTGGCCTGAAGACATACAGCAAATGTAGAAACATTTATTCAAGAAAATCTACTAAATCTTAGTAAGAACAGTGAGCCAGCAGCCTTTGGGCCATGACCTCATCCTCTCCCCACCCCCATCAGTTCCATGCAATGGAGGGCTCTTCTTGGTGAGTATAGCTGAGAAGATAGGACTTAGCCCCCTAACTGTAGCTCCTAGTCTAGGACTAGGAGCAGTAGACAGTAGACTACTGGAAGTACCAGAGGGAGAAAGAGAGAGGGACAGAAAAATATTTGAAGAAATAATGGCCACAAGATAACCCAGTTTGATGACAAACAGTAGTCTTCACAACCAAGAAGCCCAGCTCTGTCCTTTCAGTGGCTTCCAGTCAGTGAAAATACCCAGAATAGGAAAGAGAATGGAAGTAAGGCCAGTTAAAATGCCACAAAACTCACCATTCTTCCTGAGATTAGGTTGTTTTTCTTGAATAACACCACTGCACCCCCCACCCCCACTCCACACTGATTGCTACAAACTTTTGGTCAATTTCCAGAGTTCTGTCCATTTTAGTTAGTTTCTCATTGTTCTGATGGAGGAGAGTGTTTTTGGCGACCCTTATGCTGCTATTTTTGCTTACATCCTAGTTGAATTTTTATTGTAATTTTCTTAAGATATAGTGGCTGCTTATGGTTTGTTCTGAAAGCATTTATGATATTTTGGAAATTATTGGAATAATTATTTTTCCAATAATTATTGGCAATCTAAATCTAAAAGTAATTATTGGAAATCTAAAATTCCATCCATAAGGAACCAACTAATAATAATAATAAAAAATGCATAGTATATCTTTATAGCAGAATATTATGCAGTTGTTAAAGCAACGTGGTAATTTTAATTGTGCTAATAGAGAAGAATAGTCAAGGGATAATGCTAAATGAAAAACAAGTCCCAAAATAGTATGTGATAGTCTATTTGTATAAAGTTTGAATAAACAACAGGAATAACACAGGTATGTACTACATATATGCAGAGAACATTTCTAGAAGAAATATGTAATATTTTCCTCTGGGACATTGGAAGTGAGGGTGCTTCTTAGTTCTTCACCCCCACTTAGTATTATTTGAACTTTTTTGAGTATCTGTTACTTAGAAATAACTTTAAAGAAGTCATTGTATATTTAATTTGTTATTTTAAACTACCAGTAGGACATATCCTGTTAGTTTAAAGTCTACAAGTGATAAAGATTGCAATATTTTGATAATAATGTTTGTATATGTAGTACTTCTTTTTTGTTTCGTTGAAGTGCACACTCAAGATGTAATTTTGATGCTTAGGAAATCATTTTGCTTGAGAACTTTAAAAAAATAATGAACTCTCATTTAATTTCGATCAACTGGGATAATCCACAAATAATGGTGATGACTAAACTGTTCTCTTTTCACCTTCGTGACTTTCTAGACTTTGTACATTACAGTCCACCCCCTGAAAAAGTCACTCTTTTGTAAGAAGATTAACAGCCATCCTTTGTCACCTTTATTTTTATCTTTGAAAGAGGAGGAATAATCACCCAGTTCTGAAACATCATGCGTGGGTAGAATTGAATTACCCAAATTGAAAACCTTCCTGCAAACTAGAGGATAAAGAATCCCACCAGCGTGTACACATAGGCTCTTCAGGGACTTTTTGATTATTTACCCCATGAAATCCTTGAGATTTCATAATCTATCTTGTCTCATTTTTCCGTTATGAAATGGAATTTTCAGCATCTCTTCTCTTGTCTGTTTTCAGATCACAGAATTGTGTGGTGCCAAGCGGGTTGGTTATTTTGGTCCAACACAGTTTTACGTTGCCCTGAAATTAATTGCTGCGGCACAGTCTGGCCTCCCTGTGCGGATAGAGAGTATTAAATGTGGTAAGTATCTCCCATTTATACATTCTGTTATCCATGACAGGTTTTTGTGTTTTTTTTTTTTTATGAGAACCATTTTTGTCATAAAAATGAGACCTGGATTTAAGGCCTGTTCTGTAAGCATTTGTGGAATTTTTTTTTCTTCTTCCAACTCTTCTATAAAATAGAACTTACCAGGTGTATTAGTTTTTTTTTTTTAATGAGAAAAAATTCAGAAAGTGACCTGAGGTTAGTTTCTTTTATCTTACTTGCTGTTAAAAATAGATTTTGTTCTTTAGCTGAGAAAGATTGGGACAAGTGTTCTAGAACCTGTGGCAAAATAGTAAGACTCAGTTCAATTTTCCTCTTGAGGAATCTATGTTGTTTAAGGTTCTATTAGGGACAAGGAACTGAGTAACAGGGAGAGTTTGAGTAGAGCTGCCCCTTCTCTCTCTCTCTTGTTCTTGCCAGGCATGTCAAGTATGATTATCTTTTAATCTCTCAATTCCCAAAGCCCTATTAAGTACTTGGGGGCTACTAAATATTTTTTGTAATGAATTTATCTTCTCAGAGTTTTGATTTATCATTTTCTTATCTTGCTCTTCCTGCCCCAAACCCACCACATACTTGAGCACTTTGCATGACATAAACCAAAAGCAAAGCTCCAAACTCTTAGCATCATTTGCACTGCTTCAGTACTGGTTTTACCAAGCTGTTTAAAGAAGGTGATTATTCAGTGGATGTGCTGAGGTCTTTTGTTAGTTCACTCTGATATGAATTACTTTCCTGTGTCTACACAGCTATGCAGGAACTTTGCCTTTTTCCTCATTTTGAGATAAAAATCACCCAACTGTTCCTATCTGTTCTGTGAAGTCCCTGGTGGATCTTTATGTGGGCTCAGGATTTATGGTTAGTCCATGGTAACCTTGTAGCTCCAAACAGCAGAGAAAATTCTGATAGATTGACTATAGAAAACGAAGCTTTTTTACACTAACCATCAGGAAGTTGCAATCATCCTGCTAATCTTTATTAAAGGCTTAGTGTGTGCCAGACACTGTATCATTTAGTCCTCATGACATTTACCTAAACTAGATAATTGTGTCAATTTGCATTGCCTAGAATAAGCTGTGATAACAAGTACCACTGAAATGTCAGTGCCTTAATGGAACAAAGGCTTGCTTACTGCTTTGCAGTGGGTCAGGGTGACCCTCCAGGGCAGCTGCCCTCCATGTGTTGGTTCGGTGATCCTGGCAGCTTTATCCTGTGGCACCTCCAACACAGCACCTGTTCCCGTAATTGCCACAACAGAGAAATAGTTTCTCAGCCTAGCAGTTAAATGCTTTGGTCTGGATGTGACTCAGGTTACTGCTGCTCTTAGTGCATTGGCCAGATCTTGGCACATGGATCTACTGACATGCAGAGCGGGCTTTGGGAGATGTATTCCCTCATGTGCCTGCAAGGAGAGGAGACTGGATGTGGGTGAACTCTGAAAGTCTCTATCCTGCTGTTGTTATCCCCATTTTACAGATGTGAAAATGGAAGTTTAGGGTAGTTGAGCAACTTCCCTAAGGATGTTAGGTTCTAACCAGCTCCAATCAGGATCTCAGTCTCCATTTCCCAGGCTTTTTATTGTTATGCAAAGTAGCCTCTTCTGGTTGATTTCTTCTGTTTAATAAGGTCCTGATTCTAATCTGTTTCCTGAACAGGAGCAAAAACAAAACAAAACAACTGACCCCCACAAAGCATCCCTCAGTATTATATAATTTGGTTCCTTGAAATAGGTTTCTTGATGGAGTGTAATTTCAGTGGCTGGTTTAGTGTCTGTTGGTCAGTGTTTGCTGTGATTTGTTCAAAGTTATGGCTCACTGAATTTTGGTTTGTGGTAGGCACTGAAAGTTTCCATTCCATTGTAAATGATCATTAATCTTTATTGTAATATCTCCCAACTTCATCTTCTGAAAGAGTTAAGAGCTTCTTTGTTGTATTAAAAAATAAACTTCTGACACCTTTGTTGCTTTTATTTGGTTAGACTGAAGTCTTTTACCTGATCTGTGCTCAGATCTATAGCTTAGTTTCCTGGGGATGGGGGAGAGGGTAAAAGGGGTGGATTGTCTAAGTTATCACTTGTATAAGGAATTAGCCCTTTTTCCAAACATGAGGCTTTCTCCATCTTATAAATCCTGATGCTGCCTTTTACCACTGAGGGTTTAAGTATTACTCAGAGTTAATTCTGAATTTTCTTCCTTCATTTAAATGTTTTTTAAATAAGTTACTTGCAGTCAGCATATGTTGAGTAAGGATGAGTGCAAGACTGGGCCAAACTTTGAGCTGCCACTTCAGTTCAGTTCAGTCTCTCAGTCGTGTCCGACTCTTTGTGACCCCATGAATCGCAGCACATCAGGCCTCCCTGTCCATCACAAACTCCCAGAGTTTACTCAAACTCATGCCCATCGAGTCGGTGATGCCATCCAGCCATCTCATCCTCTGTCGTGCCCTTCTCCTCCTGTCCCCAATCCCTCCCAGCATCAGGGTCTTTTCCANTGACAGTATACAGCCTTGACGTACTCCTTTTCCTATTTGGAACCAGTCTGTTGTTCCATGTCCAGTTCTAACTGTTGCTTCCTGACCTGCATATAGGCATTTTCCAATTTTTTGCTTGAAATTCATTAGCTTAATGTTTGATGACACAAACCTTGAAGGTGAAAGAGAATGCTCTCTGAGAGCCTAATCTGAAAGACCTATCACACAGGAAGTTGTGAGTCCTTTCAGTCCTTCTTTTACTAGAGTCGTAACCTTACTTCATGAGTGACATGTGCCTGTGTGTATGTGTGTGTTAACCTTTAACCCCTAGGCTTTCCCATTTTGCTAAATACCCCTACCTTATGCAGTTGCTTAAGCCAGGAACTTAGAAGACTTGATTTCCTCCTTTCCCTCCCTCACAATATAATCCATCAGAAGTCCCGCCAACATGGGTGAATTCTACCAAAAATTTAGGGAAGAGCTAACACCTATCCTATTCAAACTCTTCTAGAAAATTGCAGAGGAAGGCAAACTCCCAATCTCATTCTATGAGACTACCATCACCCTGATACCAAAACCAGATAAAGATGCCACAAAAAAAGAAAACTACAGGCCAATATCACTGATGAACATAGATGCAAAAATCCTCAACAAAATTCTGGCAAACAGAATCCAACAACATATTAAAAGGATCATACATCATGACGAAGTGGGCTTTATTCCAGGGATGCAAGGATTCTTCAGTATTCACAAACCAATCAATGTGATACACCATATTAACAAACTGAAAGATAAAAACCATACGGTTATCTCAGTAGATACAGAGAAAGCCTTTGACAAAATTCAACATCCATTTATGATTAAAAACTCTCTAGAAAGCAGGCATAGAAGGAACATACCTCAACATAATAAAAGCCGTATCCAGCAAACCCACAGCAAGCATTATCCTCAATAGCAAAAAATAGAAAGTATTTCCACTAAAATCAGGAATAAGACAAGGGTGCCTACTCTCACCACTACTATTCAACATAGTTTTGGAAGTCCTAGCCACTGCAATCAGAGAAGGAAAAGAAATAAAAGGAATCAGATTGGAAAAAAAAAGAAGTAAAACTCTCACTATAGATGACATGATCTTCTACATAGAGAACGCTTAAGATACCACTGGAAAATTACTAGAGCTTATCAATGAATATAGTAAAGTTGCAGGATAAAAAATTAACACACAGAAATCCCTTGTATTCCTATACACTAACAATGAAAAAATAGAGAAATTAAAGAAACAATCCCATTCACCATTGCAACAAAAAGAATAAAATACTTATAAATAAATTTACCTAAAGAAACAAAAGACCTAATATATAGAAAACTATAAAACACTGATGAAAGAAATCAAAGATGACACAAATAGATGGAGAAATATACCATGTTTGTGATTTGGAAGAATCAATATAGTGAAAATGAGTGTACTATCCAAAGTAATCTATAGATTCAATGCACTCCCTATCAAGCCACCAATGGTATTCTTCACAGAACTAGAACCAATAATTTCACAATTTGTATGGAAACACATAAAACCTTAAATAGCCAAAGCAATCTTGAGAAAGATGAATGGAACTGGAAGAATCAACCCGCCTGACTTCAGACTATACTACAAAGCTACAGTCATCAAGGCAGTATGGTACTGGCACAAAGACAGAAATGTAGATCAATGAAGAAAAATAGAAAGCCCAGAGATAAATCCATGCACCTATGGACACCTTATCTTTGACAAAGGAGGCAAAAATGTACAATGGAGAAAAGACAGTCTCTTTAACAAGTGGTGCTGGGGGAAACTGGTCAGCCACATGTAAAAGAATGAAACTAGAACACTTTCTAACACCATACACAAAAATAACCTCAAAATGAATTAAAGATCTAAATGTAAAACCAGAAACTATAAAACTCTTAGAGGAATACTTAGGCAGAACACTCTCTGACATAAATCACAGCAAGATCCTCTATGACCCACCTCTCAGAGTAATGGAAGTAAAAACAAAAATAAATGGGACCTAATTAAGCTTAAAAGCTTTTGCACAATGAAGGAAACTATAAGCAAGGTGAAAAGGCAGCCTTCAGAATGGGAGAAAATAATAGTAATCAAAACAACTGACAAAGAATTAATCTCCAAAATATATAAGCAGCTCATGTAGCTGAATAACATAAAACACAACAAAACAAACAACTCAATCAAAAATGCGCCAAAGAAGTAAACAGACATTTCTCCAAAGAAGACATACATACGGCTAATAAATACATGAAAAGATGCTCAACATCACTCATTATTATAGAAATGCAAATCAAGACCACAATAAAGTATCATCTCATGCTGGTCAGAATGGCTGTCATCAAAAAGTCTACAAACAATAAATGCTGGAGAGGGTGTGGAGAAAAGGGAACCCTGTTACACTGTTGGTGGGAATGCAAACTGGCAGAACCACTATGGAGAACAGTGTGGAGATTGCTTA